GTCATCTAGACCCAATGCATGGGACACTATCTATTTGCATCCATCAGACAAACATGACAAGGCCAACAATTCCATCGACAAAAGTGCCACATTTCATAGCCTTACAGAAGCTTGCAACTTGTCTTAAMAAGGCATATGTTGGTCAAACCKTCCCTGGYATGGACAGTATTGGAGTGTCAAAATGAAATTTGCAGTAGCATTCTTTGTTGGTGATACTCCACAACACAACAACCCTTGCAGCCATTATTGATCCACAAATACTAGGGTGCTATGCCATCACTGCAATTGCCCTAGATTTCTGGCATTAGTGCCRGGCCTAATGGGTYGAAGGAGCGTATTCCAGCCAAMGAGCATCATCCCCCCCTCATTAGTTGAGGGGTTAATGGAAGGCTGTCTAACTCCATGGACTATAAGACTATGCCCAATGATTTTTATTGTCTGGAACTTGAAACACAAACAYGTTCTGCCAATTATTTCAAAAACATTTCTCATCATGAAATAAAAGGCAGGTGGYAATAACACTTTTTACAAATTAGATTTTGGAGTAAATTTGAACAGCATCCATCTCACCAGTCCTGGAGAGAGGCTTCACATGCACCAACATGGATGTGCAAAGGGAGCAGCAGAAACTTTCTGGGAGGACTTTTTGGGAATGCATTATTGGTTACTCAGTTCAATGGATGGTATTGCTAGCTATTACAGGTTGGTTGTTCAAAGACAATCTGATTGTGACTTTCCTACTAGAATGAATTTCTCTGAATCYGTTCACACAGCAAAGAAGGAGGGCAGTCAATACATGGAAATGTTATACATACAAATGCTGACACTACTATTGTCTGGTTAAGGTAGGCAGGCTTATGTCATTGAGAACACAACAAGGCAACCAAGAAAACAAGTACGGCAGGACTGAAGAAGAAATTGACTGCCATATATACACGCTTGAGTTGATACTGGGAATGGATACTAGCATTGAGAAAGTTATGAAAGTGGATGCTGACAATGTTACCAACCTTAACAAGATGGTGGTGGTAATGGCAATTCCATGACTGGGTTTCTGATGTTTCCAGAGCACAAACAAAATTTAATGGGATATAAGAATACAAAATTCAAGATTCAAGTTAATGGGTGTGGAGAAAACATTACTGGGGAAAAATATTAGTACTAGCTAATCAACTTTTAAAGAATTCAATTGGAGAAGAAATTATTACACCAGAAATAAAAATATAGTAAAATCAGGAATGAAACAACAAGGCTAGCTATGGGGTTTAGGGAATATAGGGTGCAACGACATAGTTGCATGCATTTTGGGGTRCAAAATTTGCTGTGATGCATAACACAAGAATAGGTAAGAAAATTTTGTTGGTTTGTTGTTTCATGAAAATATTTCCACTATGAAAGTGCTTTATGTGATGTACTACTAGCAGCAGAACTGCTGACATGATTTCACAAAGTCATAAAGTACTTCACACGCAGTAGTAATCTAGTACAATCATGATCAATCCATGATTTCTTTTTCCTGCCCTTTTCCCAAAGTTGGTGACACCAAACATGTCTGAATTGTGATCTGTATCATCTGATTTTCATTTCCATGATCAACATTGTGGGGTAACACTCGAGTGTCACCTTTAACTCATAGTAATGCAACACTACTACTACTACTACTACTACTACTACTACTACTACTATTACTGCTACTGCTACTAGCCTGCTAGTACTAATACTACTACTAGTAGTATTACTAGTACTAGCAGTACTACTAGTACTACTAGTAGTGATGATGGTAATCTCAAAACTGCATTATGTGATATAATCGGCGAGCTACTCGCGGAATACGTGTAATCCGTATGTAATCTGATCCGTACTCTGGAAAACCTTCGAAAACCTTCCTTAAGGAGAAAATTATGTGCAGTCTTGCGCTACACAAGTAATCCAACTGAGGCCGAGGACGAGAGCTTTGCTCGAGACCGAGGCTGAAGTTGGATTACTTCAGCAATCAGCACTGAGACTGAGTCCAACAAGGTCGAGAGCGGAGCTCGAGACCTTGTTGGACTCAGTCGAAGTGCTGATTGCTGGCCCTGGACCGCTAGTAGCTCGCCGATTATTTACGTAATCCTCTAGTTGCTCGATTTTCATGTGTAATCACCGCGGCACTCGTGGCGAGCGCTGCTCTCATTGAACAAGAAGGATCCCCCTTGATAGATTCTTCAGCTGTTGTTTTCAAAAAGGAGCTTATCTACGACTGCTAATTTCAAATAATTCTTTAGTGCTGATTCTTACAAAATATCTGTTGTCGCAAAATAGACAAGAAACATCGCTTTACTACATAATAACACAGGACGTCTGTACTCCTCAACGAGCCTCCTCAATCTCCTTCAAGCGCTGTGACATTTTCAGCTCATTTTCAATCTGTACTCTTTTGCTTTTTTCCCAGGCAAGCTCCTTTTGGTTGTACTCTTCTTTTGCCTCCTGGATTTTTTCAGATAGCTTCCTCTGTTGCAAATCATCAGTGAGGATTGAAAGCTTGTTGTTTAGCTCAGCGATTTGCTTTTCCGAATCCTCCAGTTGGCATCGGATCCTCTTTGCCGCTCTCTCAAATTCATCCGCTACATCTTTCATCTTTGCGGCGTCCCTTCTTGCCATGACAAGCTGTTGCTTCAAAATTCCCTTGGTAGGTGTAATTATCTCCTTCTTTGTAGTAAGGAGACTTCCTCCAGCTGGTGGCAAGGATGCTGCTGCAATCGCTACCATATCTGCAGCAGGAGAAGAACAGGCAAGCACTGCTTTTTTGCTGTCGGTACTACTACTAGCAGATCTTTCGGATTTTTCTTCCGACACCACAAAGACCTCGTCCTTGTTATCGCCTCCAGCCTGCTTTGCTGTTGTTGCTGCTGCTGAGCTTCCTTTTGATGGTCCATTCTTCTTGTTACCGTGAAGCCCACCATGAAGCACACCTTGCACGGCTTGTTGAATTACTGAATTTTGATGAATATATGGCTCTGCAGACTTGCTACTCTTGTGTCTGAGATGGTTCATTCTCATCTTTTCGGGAACAGCAAGATCTGATGCTAGGATTGTACAGCATCTATGCCTGTTGTCATGTGGTGTATACTTCTCCCAATCCTTGAAATCAGCTACTTCAGCAAACTCTTTAACCCAAGCTCTAACCGATCCTACTCCCATGGGAGATGAGCTCTTGAAGTAGTATGGGTTGTTCTTCTTTTTCTTCAAGTCAGGATGACAAAGGAACCTTGCTTGCTTCGGATCACAACGAGACCTGTAGAAGATCATTAGCTTTACAATACAATTTGGATTGTCTGGATCTTCTACCACTGAAGGAAACTGCTTAGTTACAGTCGAATTATTCAGTGAAAGCTGGTGTGACTTATCAAACCCTCCTCCTGGAGCAATGATTACATACTTTAATCCTTTCATATTGCCGTGGTCAAAGGTTCCCATTCTCACGTGTGTCCACATCAGTCCAACAAGCTCTGATCCTCCCCTTATTCCAAACTGTCTTCCAAGCTCCATTGCTATTAGCTTTATCAAGTCCTGCATGTTCTCGAAAGGCTTGTAAGTACCATCAGTCAACACTTTGCAAAATTTCTCATCAACAAACTCATCAAACTCTGCTTTGGTCCTCTTGGTTCCAATGGAAGGATCAGCTGAACGCTTTGCATTATAGTCATGCTTAAGGAATGCAAGGAAGCCCCCCTTTGTTTTAAAATCTCCTTCCTTGAACCTAACATCTCTCTCATGAAGAGCAACAAAGAGCTGTCCGACCCTAACACTCATAGTGCTACTGTCAAGCGGGGCACCAGTTTTGGTGTTCTTCATGTGTCTAGCCCAGACTTTGAGTGCTCGATCCATTATTTGCTTGTTTACAGCATTCGTCTTACCAGTCACATGCTTGTAAAATAAGTAATCTTCAGTTAATCCATCTTCCAGTAAYACTTTCTTGGTGAACATCTCATACATAACGTGATCCCCTGGATCATTCTTTGCGGGATCCGTTGCTGCAGCTACAATATCCACAAAGTTCTTGTGTATAGTTCTGATTGTCTTTGCGTATTTCTTTGTCTTTGCTTCAGCCTCCTGATACTCATCGCTTCCAAGAGTGTTGAAAGCATTAGCATTGTCTCGAATGGTCCTTGCATACTCAAGGATACTATCATTCTTGTTCGTACTACTACTATCTGGTGCGGATAGTGCCGGTGGTGAGTTAGATGCATGTGTTGAGGCTGTTGTCGAAGGCGGATCTTTGTTTTGCATTGACTGCATTGCGGATACTGCTGGTGCTGATCCCTTGCGTCGTGGGGGTGGAGAGGGGACGCGTCGATCACGACAAGATGGTGGTGGAGGGGGAAGCCTAGCCTTGCTGCTTTTGTATCGCTTCGCGTATGGGTTGCGGACAATGGTAGAGGGGGGGGGTTCTGTTGCTGCTGATGGGGCAGCTGCGGGAGAGGTGGTGGTTGCTGGCGTTTTATCTTCACCCATTGTAACTCTTCTAGCAGCAGCTCTTCTTCCTGCTCTCGGTGCTCTTTTCCCCATTATCTGGTGTTGGTCCGCCAAGAGGATTGGTGGTCTTGGTGGCGGCGCTGTCGAGGGGATTGCATCAACATCGATTGGTGTGGAATCAACACAGAAGGAAATATCATCCCCTCGCCTGTTCCTTTTAGCAAACAATTCTTTCTTCATGATATCAGAGTCCTGTGTACTAGAGGATGCAAACAAATGGGCGAATTCAGGCCACGCACCATGGTCTACACGTCCAGCAGGCGCTTTCGGTGATCCTTGTTGTTGTCGGTTCTTGTTGCTTCTAGTCCTAACCATGATTCTTTGCTTATGGTCATAACCACGATACTTTTTGTGAGGAGTTCTCTCTTTTTTTTTTGACAGGATTCACTCCTTGTTGCCATTGGAATCACGTAGCGAGCCAGGTACTTTGCTACGTCCAGGGGTTCACTCCGATGAACACATTCATCTTCTTCAGAGAGTACGTACAAATATTGGAACAGCAGTCCCAACCATGTTGACTTTTTTGATGCGTTTTCTATTTTTTTTACGATGGAGTCACTCAGCGTTGCCCTTCCAATCACGTAGAAATCAGGCCCTTTTCTACGTGATAGGGTTCACTCCGATGAACACATTCATCTTCTTTAGAGAGAACTTACTGTGATCTTGAAATATTGGACCAGTATAAAGTTGAGTGATACAGTTAATTCAGCTCATTCAGCTCAGTTGAAAACAAAAAGTTGGTCTTGGATGTGATTGACCTCGAAAAAAGTAATCCATGATGAAAATTTTGTTTTCGGAGTTGTAATCTGATTCAGCCAAACAACTAGCGCTACTGTGGAAAAATTTAGGCTCTTGCTTGGGAGAGCGCTGAATGCAATTTTGGATTACATGAAATCCATTTTGCAGGTTCGTAATCCATCGAGGTGCGAGATTTAAGTAAAAAATTAACTAGTGTTTGTTAGTGCGCGATTACATGTATTCTTTTTGTAATCCAGCGCGCGTGATTACACGTGAAAATCGAGCAACTGGAGGATTACTGTATGGGAATCACGAACCCCTCGGTCTCTTTTCAGCAACATCATACTTTCACGACTACAGTATTTCGGAAGAGAAAAATTGTTTCAGGAAGTGAAAACAGCACCATACTGAGAGGAGGAAACTCGTTTCTAACAATTGCATCCCTGTGTGAAATTACCAAAATAGTACCGATAATGCTCCATGCCTTTATTAGTCAATGATGCAACTCACGCGATAAAGGTCGGTGATAGCATTGGTATTAGCGGAGACACCAGTAGCGACAGCAGTCTTGGGTTGTTGTTTGATACCTTTGTCCCTTTATCGTCTATTTTGACCGTCTCCGTCGTTGTTGGATTTACTCTTCCTCGGCACGAATATTTTGGACTGTTTTGGTTGATCTGGTGGGCGTTGGCGGTTTCTATTTCTCTGCTTAGTGTTGATGATCATGATGGCGGATATATAACTAATGGAAACGATGTGAAGGGTCTTTTCAAGTCCTCGGATGATCGAATTCGAGGAATGGCCATATTGGTAGGGCTGCCCTTTGCTATGTTGCTAGTYCTGTTTGTATGGTGGAAGAAAGAAAACTCATCTTCTTCATCGGCGATACAGAGGAGTCAAGAGCGACGACGACGTCGAATTCTACCGCTCATCAATCCTATTCGAGGTTTTGTTCTGAAACATGTTCCAATGTGGAGTATGGTTGCGATAAACATTTACCGACTCGATGGATTATCTGTTGTGATCCCCTTCTGGAATGGACACGTTCCAAAATTTGTGGGATACCAGACCATATTTTTGGACGTGATAATGGGAATTACTGCTATTCCATTGACCTACTTTTTGTACGTTCCTAGAGGACGAAGGGGAATCGGTAGTAGACGAGCGAAACCGAACGCACGACCCTCATTTCTTAAGGATGCCTTGTGGTTTTGGAATTCTCTTGGATTGTACGACTTGTGCAGCGCGTACATTGTATTTATTTTAAACGCATACGAAATGGGTGGTCCCAATATTACCCAACCTCCGCTATTACCGAAGTTGGGAAAGCACCCCCTCCCGTTGCTAATTTTGTTTCAAGTTCCTCTGGCCATAGCGGTTCACATACTAATGTTGACCAACATTGATGAACTAATGAATGAACAAGAGAAGCAACTGCAAAAATCTCATGATTTGTCCTTGAYGCTTCCTACAGTTGCTGCTGCCGTATCTTGTCGAAGGTAGTGGTACGAAGTGATAACAATAAACATTTTGATTATCCAATGCTCAACCAGGTTTTAGTGAGCACGTACTCCACCAAAACTGTCAACCTGCTAAATTTATTTAGCATTCAGTTTCTGTTCAATTCTATTCCCAACTTACCGAAAACAATAGCTCTAATATCATCGGCTAGCCGCCGCAGCCTTYGCCCTCCATTCTTGAATGAATTTTTGGACGTGTTCGACATGTTCATACTTCATGTAGATTTTATTGCTTCTTTCGCTGCTCCATGCATGTGCACCATGCTTCATGACGTACTTTTGAACAGCTCGGAATTCACCATCCATAATCGGTTGATGCATAAAGACGTCGTTCCATATCACTCGATGCCTTTCGCGGTCCCTGAAAACGATAATAGATTGAACAACCAATATTTGTAAGTTGACTGCATTCCTAAAACGAATTCGAGATAAGAGAAACAATGACCATTGAATCATACTTACCACAAACAGATTTGATCCACAACATTCCCTGGTAGAGGTGAATTAGAGACAGATGCACCAAGACCACCACTACCCTGTCGAAGTTTTGGGTGTGCATGTTTCTCGAGAAACCGCAGTATCTGTTGGGCCTGAATACCGAGATTAAATGCACCCTTTATGCTATCTCGCGTGATGGTCATAAARATTACGTTTGGCAACCGCCGAATCGTATTTACATCGCAAAACAAGCCCAGCATGCTCACATGCAACTCCGAGGTGGTATAGGCACAGAGTTGGAAGTTAGTCTGAACAATTATTGCCAGATGGCTCGAATCATTCGGTCTAGGTTGTGCCAGGGACGATTCCAGCGCCTTGCTCGACCAGCTGTACATTCCGCCACCTTTGCCTCCGATTCCACCACTGGTTTGGTTGCCGCCGGTCAGCTGCATTGCGATGCGCGTCGGATAAAAGATGAAACCCCTCCCTATCTTTTTGTAATAAATGATTCCAAATAGGCCCAGATCCTTCACGATTTTGACTCCGGGTTTTGTCAGCGAGGCAGTCGAGTAACATTCTCCAAATCGAGAGAAGCTCAAGCAAATCAAAACCAACAATGCCTCCCGGAACACTTCCCCTTTTTTCGACTCTGCCACCGTAGCGAGATACTGGACGACGAAATGCCAGACCTGCTGCGAGTTGTCTTGGAGCATAAAGTCGTACCCCTTTTGTGTGATGACAAGGGGKGCTTCTTCTCTGCTTCGTTTGTAGTCTGGATCGGGTTGCATTAGATTGGTTTGAAGCAAGAAATGTGCCACGGCTGGATTAGGTTGAATCGTCATGTTTGGGGTCCCAACTAGATAATGCAAGACCGCATCCCACTGGGATTGGGTATATCGTTCTAGATCTTCTGGTGTCATGGCAGGAAACCGAACCGGTCTTCCCGAGGTTTCGTCTTTGTTGGCTTCGTTTTCAAGAAATTTCATTTCTTCCTCCGTCAATGCACACCAGGGAGACGCATCCAAACTCTGAAGGGAATCCTTTAGGCTCTTGAAAAACTCTGGTGTCAATCTCAGAACGGTTTGATCCGTCCAGGCAGAAGCTTGCTGTTTTTCRGTGACAATCGCCCAGTGGTAGAGTTCGTTGAGTTGCCGAGATAGCAATTTGTTCATCGCCGCCGAAGAAGTTCCTCCGGCTCCGCCTGCGTTGAATCCTTTCAGCCAGATCCGTATGTTGGAAATCGAAAATTCGCCACCCGTGCAGCTCAACCGCACGATGATCTGCTGGGAGGTTTCTGGCAATCGCTGCAAGACCGCCCGACACACGTACCGACCCCGTTTCTCGTCAGAGTACAAGCCCAGCAGGGAATCACGAGAGACGGATTGCCTCAGATAATCCATGACCCCCGTCGTTTTCGTCCCCGCCGTTCGTTTTGCGGCTGTGTTGTTGCTCGGAGTTTTGGAAGGCGCCGAACCACGCGGGCGTGGAGGAGGTGGTGACGACCGCCCTCTGTTCGGAGTTCGACTCGACGACGAGGTGGGCGAGAGCCTCTGTCTCCTGCTCGGCGGGACGGGCGACGCCGATCTCTTCGGAGAGTTCGGACGTTTCTTCGGCAGCATCTTTTTGGCAAAGTTGTGATAKAGCTCTTATTGAAGGCGATCGCGCTSGGGAAAYAGCAATATTCAATATAAACTGGTGTTATATTTGGTTTCTGCCTTCTCACTKCGAAGAGTCTCTCGTTTTCTCAAGTCGTGTCTGGCTTTCTGTCGATCATTGCGTATGGATTGTCGCGGTGAGAGATGATTTTGATGAKCACTGAAAAGAGATCGAATGGACCTTTCACACCCGCCGTAATACGCGCATGTCCCCATACTTACCGTACTYGGTACGTACTGCTTCTACAGCACAAACAGCTGACTTGAAGGCCTCTGTTCCCAGTGGCATATGAATACTACATACGTACCATATGTTAGTTGCCAGGAACCGGTAAGCTACAGAAGAACAGTCAGTTGTACTTCTAATAGATTCTATTAGACAATCATAATACTATTGTTCGAATAACAATAAAAGGCCAAATCCTTTTACRAAGAACAAGAGCTGCCAATGCTACTAGCTATAAATCACGGCGTGAATGGTTTGACGCAGATCCCAAACGTCTGTGGCTTTCCTGCTTCCAGCAACGGTTCTTTTCTGATTGACCCGTGACCCACGACAACATTTCATCGAAGCGCTTCGTTCCGGAAGCGTCCCGCCGGACCGCCCGTGCGGGATTCGCTCGAGCGCGCCTCTTCTCCATCGCCGGGAACACCTTTTGGGTTGTGTTGTCCGGCCTCGCGAACCACTTGCGCTCGGTGGCATCACCGTCGTTCTTCGATGGCGGTTCCCTCGCCAGTGCGGCTCGGTGTTTCCGCCAAAACCATCCGCAGCGCATCCCTTAGTTCCGAGCTCGACAGGATGCTCCAGTGGTTCACCGACCACCCATCCAGGAGAATCAGTCTCGCGGCGGTCCCGCCGTTCCCGCCATCGCGGTTTGGACCCACGGCCGATGCCTGCGTTGCAACGGTCCCGGAGCACAAGGCGTCCGCGTACGCTTCGGAACAAAAGGCCGAATCCAGCAGCGACCAACCAAAGACCTCCCGCCGGCAGCCGATGAGCACGTGGGGAGGAAGGTTYGGCGGTGGGGTCGCCARGAAGCCGCCGCCGGTGGCGCTRCCCCCGCGGGGAACCCTTGGCGTGGACCGMAGCACCCGGAGGGGGGAGGGGATTTCCTTSGGCGGCCGTCCCAGAACGACCCTGCTCAGGAGCGCCATGACGAAAGAATCCCCCGGGACGTCCAGGACTCCCGAAACGTACAGGACGGAAGYGATGGACAGGTGTTCCAGTCGTTGCCCTTGCTGCCGGCATCGAGGCGAAAGATCGSCGGCCCCCTTTCGTCCGTCGTCGTCCTCCGGGGGCCGCGCCGGCGGCAACAGGGGCGACAGAGSCGACGCCGTCAGCAGGGTGGCGGCGACGTGCGCCCCCGAGGAATACCCGCCAAAGACAACGGGAATCTTCTTCCTCCCCGGAACTGCCTCTTCGCCCCTCTGGGTGGCATCCGCGGCGTGCGGTGTGGCACGCCCCAGTCCCAGCTCGTGGGCGTGCTGGTCGATGTAGTTCAGTGCTTYGGACACGTCGCGAACCATGTCCTCGATCCGCGCCGCTCCCCGTCCCTCCGAATARAGCGCCRCCGTCAGAAGGACGGCCGCCAACACCACGGACSGCGCGAGGGATGTTTTTGCAAACTCCCCGGCTCCCCCACGCGGCGCCGAGAAGAAGGCCAGCAGCACCGAGGCGACGGAGATTGCCGCGATCGCTGCCGCAGACCACAGCCGGGAGGACRCTGCTTTCTCGCTGCCCGCTGCACTCCCGCCCAAAAAGTACCCCCCGGAGTGCCGGATCGACACGCAGGGGTGCCCGAGCCTTCCGCAGACCTGCCTGGGTGCGGACGAGTTCCACCAGTTGGTGACCCCGTAGAGGTAGGGACGRTGGCCGAGCCAKCCCGATCCCATCACGAGCACCACGGGAATCCTCGGGGCCGCACCGGCACCGCCCCCGATCCCCGTGGGCCGGTAGACGTCGATGGACTGCTCGAAGCGGCGCTCGGGCGTGTAGTAGTGCCGATCGACCCGGTAGGCAAACCCCGTCCCGCCCGTTGCGGTGGTCGCTGCGGCGGGCATGGTTTGTTTGGCGGGGATCGCAACTGTTCGGGTGTGTTCCGTTCGGGGTGCGCAGTTGTGCTATGGGCTCGAACCGATGGTGCCGTGCAGCAGTGCGGCATGCATGGCCGGGCCTGGCGTTTCGGTGGTTGTTTTCTGGGTCGCAGATCCAAAAAATTCAGAATGGAATTCGAGAGATCACATCGGAAACAAAAATAAATGACGCACCATTATTTGCATTCCGAGTTTCTCGATCGATGTTTGCCGTGCCGATCGTGTTTTGATCATAATCTTGGTACGTACCGTAYGACATTATGTAGTGAACGCATGGTCTGTACGTAGCTAGAAACGACGATGAKTTTCGCTAGTAGCCAGTAGCAGTTGTACCGTACATGCGTACAGCACGAATCAACAACGAACGAGCACCGCAAGCTGAAAGCTACCAGCACACTWCTACCTACCGTATGGTACCGTATCGTACCGTAGTTTTGTGAAGCTGGAAGATTATGGAAGTAATCCGGAAGGTATCTACATACTCGAGCTGGTATCAAACAAGAACAACCGTACTTGAACAACAAGGACTTACAAAACCAAGAGCCAGACAAGAATCCAAGAGTTCTCTAGTTGTTTGGAAAAGAAAGTACAGTAGTTTGCCATTCTTCTTTTACTTGTCAATGGATAAAAACAAAGGAGCGGTCCATCAAGAAAAAGCTATCAACCAAAGACACGATCAGGACCTCTTGTTCTTCTATGACTGCCGTTGCAGAGGCAACAAAACAGCCACGACACAACTGCTGTCTTTGCTTCTGGAATTGCTAGTAGTCACGATCAGCAGGATGCAAGAACACTTTTCTWACAGTATCAAAACAAAAACCCTCATCACACTGGTGCTCTTCCTTGTATTTTATTATATACTGTATTTTAGTTTATCGATAGAGGCTTATGCGCATGCGTATGCATTGTATTGAATTATGTCTTGCTTTCTGTTCGCATCGATCGATCTATCAGCCAGATCTGTAACTGTTACAGTCTATTTTTCCTGGCTTCGTCCCATTTTCAAAATTTATGTGGCTGTGTTGCTGTTGATAGCTAGCATCCTAGTCGTAGCTGCGATGGAGAACGATARCCCCTCGCTATATAGCTATCTAGGTAGGCGAAAATGGCTGACTATATGCGCGAGTGGAAATATTTTTCTCTGAGACTCGCCATCACTGATTGGTTTCCTCCGTTTTCGCCTTCTTTTCTTGTTGTCGATTTGGATCTTCGTCCGGATGGTCTCTATAGTAAGCTACCAGCTCATCCTGAACATCGTTTATGAAAAAAAAAACGGATTGATTGAGATATTTCGGAGTAACAAGTGGATTGTTGTGCCACACCGCTACGCATTAAAGTTCGAAATCAACAGCACAAAGCTACACCTCGGTTTCCTTTCCCAAAAGACGAACGCAGTCTACTCACCTTCGTAAGGAAACGTCCCCCCGGCCCCCTGGGTCGTTTCATCGCGTGCCGATGCCTAGACTCGTGCATGTAAGGTTTCTTYCCGCCGCTGGCATCGCTTTCCTGTCGTTGTTTTCGAATGAGTTCTCTCTTCTTGCTGAGGTACTCGTCCATCTTGGCCCGTGCCTCCCGGCGTTTCAAGATTCTTCGGTATTGTTTCGCATTGACAAAGGTTGGTCTAGGAGCGGGTGCCACCATGTGTTGCTGAACGCTTTGAAAGTGCTGTTGCTGGTGCGTCGGTTGCTGTGGTTGGGCAGGAACAGCTCCCATCTGGGCTCGCTGCGTCGTTGCTGGCTGCGAGGTCTGGCCCACCGCCTTTTGGTGCTGTTGTACCGCCGCCGCCGCCTGCTGCAGGGCCGCTTGCGAGTGTGCCGCGGCAGCGTGCAAGGATTCTTGCGTCGCGGGCATTCCGGCGGACATCGCGTATGCCATTGCCATTTGCTCCATGTGAGACGCAGCRGCCTGGTGCCACGCCATCTGCGTTGGATTGCTTTGCGCTTGCCCCGGGACACCAGCCGTGGGCCCCGGTGCCGGTACGGGACCGTTGTTTGGCGCCTGGGCAGCGGGTACCCCTTGCGGGGGCACCGCAGAGGCCGCCGACGCCGCTTGCTGCATGTGCTGGCGGAGCTGGTGTTGCGCTTGTGCCTGGGCGTTCATGGTGTGTGCCTGGTGATGGACCGCCTGCTGGTTGTACGTTTGGTGATTGACAAACACAGCGGTCGGATCTCCTTGTGTCTGTACCGCGGGGGGTGGAGCAAGATGTTGCTGGTGTTGCTGCCCCGGTTGCTGATCCTGTGGGATCTGCTGCTGCTGGAGCGCTGGGGGTGGGGCTCCGACAATCATAGTACCTGCAAGTGTCAAAATGGAAAGATAGGCAGTGGAATAGAAGAGAAGCGGTCAGGTCTTTTCCTTTCCCACAGATCAAAATATCTCCTCTGCGACATTTGCCCACCTGTCGCAAACCAGAAGCCGTCTCTCACCTGCTCTAGCGGATGCACAGTTTCAATACGAGTGTTCTTAATCACCAGAAACAACTTTGCAAGATCCTGTTGTGTATCTTACAACAGGAGATATCTCGAAGGCACCTTACACTTGTTCCTACGGTACTCAACGTTGCCCTTGACGAGAACACTTCCGTAACCAAATAGTTGTCTTGACAATTACTTCGCACAACCGTTATTTTCTTGATTTTTCTTGTGAAGGGCAGAGAGGGGGTGAAGATCAAACCAGTTGTTGATGCTTTCGTCCCAAAAACTCGTTAATTTCCTGCCTTTCGCGATGTTACAGCTGTCCCATGCATATTCATAGTGCGTACTTGACTTCGTCGATAAGGGCCTAATCGAAATTGGATCCTTCCTATTGGTCAGGCCGATCCTGGACTTCAAGGTGCTCCGAGAATTTCTTGACGTCAAAAAACTTCTCCTTCAGGATCGCGCTATTTGAAGTTTTGTTTTTCGATTTTTAGTGTTCTCTGATGATCGCGAGCAGAGAAGATGACGACGATTGCAAGAGATGACGATGGTTGACGATGAAAATGGATAATGGATAATGGACATCGAAATCTATCATCACGCTCGTACGGTACGAACGTAGTAAGCATAGTACCGTACTATCAGGTACGACGACACGATGACGCCCAGCGAAAGCAAACAATAATTATTGGTAGAACATAATGCGTAGAATCCTACAGCCATGCTTTGGACACCGATTTCATTGGTTGTGTAAAAAAAAGCGAGTCGGTTGAGTATTCTTCGCCCTTGCTAAAAGTATCCAAAAGCTGTGGTTGCTGGAGGTACAACAAAAATCTCAAAAATATTTCGAAATCATGACAGTTCTTGGAATATTCATGTGATTAGTGTAGTACCACTACAAGTTCTAGTACTATTCGCAAAATTTTCGACAGAGATCGGGCAGCTTTCTGTTGACCTGCTCCATCCTAGTGTAACTAAATTCGGAAAGGTCCAACTCTACGATGTTCCCCTGCGGGCAGAATAACTCGCCGCTCACATAGTATCCCATGTTCATCCCCGTTCCCGAATACACTTGTGCGGCGACACCTCCGCATCCGTCGCAAGTCCACCAGTTGGCTGTGTCGTTTGGTTTCCAGAATCTTGGGAGTGAAATGCATGAGGCATACCGACAATTTGGACAGGGACTGACCATTCCGTCTGATCGACGCAGGCACAAAATTGCAACGAAAACAAGAAGCAACGCAGAGATCATTCCTCCACATCTCAAAGTCAGGATGCGTAATCGGTGACACCATTGCCCAAAGGTAGTCTTTTGCTGCCTTTTGCGGTAGTCAAAGGATGATGCAGAGAGTAGTCTAAGAGACGACAGAGACACGAAAAACCCGAAAATCAATCCACCCAAATGAGCAAAATTATCCACAAACGGTAAGAGGCCGACCAGTGAGTTCAGTAACAAGTCACACACAATCGAAAAGTAGCACCAAAGTCGAACTCGACGACGATGGCGACATTGAGTATCGAATGGGTTGTCTTCTTGCACTGCACCACAAGTCATGGTTTCGGTTGACTTCCTTCCTTCATCGGCTTGAACATCGCACGGAAATCGGAATCCTTTTTCAAGTATTCGAGTCCGTTGTCGCTCTCGATCGCACGTTTCCTCTTGTACCCGCTCTTCCAGAACCAGAAAGAAAAACCGCGAGTTCAAGACAATATCCCCCACACATGTACCAATTAACCCGTAGATACCACCACTGGCACCAACCAGGATATAGCCCGGTTGGATCAGTGCCGATATGGCATTTGCAAACATACCGCTCACGATGAATAATATGCCAGTGTGCAACCATCCGTGATTGCGCTCGATGGTTCGGCATACAAAGATGAGAAATGCAGCATTCATCAAGAAATGGGCAATGCCTGCATGCAAGAATATGGGCGTGACGAGCAACCACCACTTGCCATCTTCAATCAATGCACGCCCCTGTAGGGCGCCCAACTCCAACAAGACCTGTGGCGTCGGTCCGATCAATGGATTAGATTTTAGAGGCTCGATCGCCCACTTGTTTTTGTAGAATGCCCAAAGCATCATGAATGAGCTTATGAACAATGTAATTGAGATAAATATGGGCCTCTTGAGTATACCCTTCCGTTCCTTTGCATAATAGTCGGCCCAAGCGATATAAGGCTCTCCCACGTGTCTTCGATAAGCGGCATCTTGGGCCCATTTCAAGTCGGACCGAATGTCGGATAGATTCGAAAACAAACCCAGAATCATGTATGGTAGTTTCCGGTTTTTTTTCATTCGTTCCATTTGAGCAAACTTGAAGAACTTAAAGAACGAGACAACTGTGGGATTGTTACGACGGAACTCTCTCTGTTGTTGCAGCGTTTTCCCCTGAGATGTAGGCCCACCATCGAAGGCAACGGAATTTTGGCTACGGTTATGGTGGTTGGTCTCAAAGGAACAACTTCGAAGGAATTGGATGACTATATCGTCGTCTAGCAGAGAGGGTGTTAACAAATCCTCAGTATTGCCGTCGTTACTCATGACTCCAACCTCAGACTCTTCGTCTGCATAATTGAGTTTGGTGTCTCTCCTATTATTTGGATTCCTTTGCCAGTTTCTTAAGTCTTTGATCTGTCCCTCTTCATCATCGCTATAGTAGCCAGATCCTTCTGCATCGGGATTTCTTTGCACATCTGGATCTTCATTTGATACTGTTGTACTTGGATCAACACTAGTGTTGAGTACGTCGGTGAAGCATTGAAGAAAGAAAATTGCTCTTGTATCTCCACTATTGTCTTCGTTCCCTTCCGCCCTCGATTTCGTTTGGGAAGGAATAGTAGTTGGTGATGATGCGAGTGTCAAGGACGGAGGGGTCGTTGCTGGCAGCGACAAGGTTCGTTGGGATATGATGCAATCCTCCAAGGTGTCCGCAGTGGTGGTGTTCTCGGCGCTGCCTTCTAGAGCGCAAGGCCCAGGCATTTCTATTTCTTTCGACTGCATCATTTTATTTTTCATCTTAAATTTATGTTGATGTCGAACAATAGTTCTTCGAAGTCCTTCAGTATTCGTCGCAACGAAAATATGTCCAGGGATATAATTGCCGAAATGCAAAACGGCGAGCCGAGAACCACTGTTGACGAGCGAACAAAGCGCCATCTTCTCCATCTAGGTTGTTTTCTGGTTTTACTTCAGTTCAAACCGATAATCTCGGTGCTCATAGGGGTTTAGTGAAGTGTTGGGGGGATCTTATCCGTTTCATGACTCAACTGACAAAGATGTCACGAAATTAACCGTAGAACACGAAGCTTCAGGTTACTTACAGGGTGTTGGTGAAGTCGAAAACAAGTTCAGATCCTCGTCGCACGGTGCCAGAAACCGGTCAGTGTTCGTAAAATGTATCGTAGTGGAAGTACAAATGAATCAATTGTGAGCCGTTGGTCATGTTTTTCGTGTGACATTTTTCTCATGACTACTTCTACTTAGGAGTAGAGCAGTACCCAGCCTTTACAGTACATTATTCTACGGAGGGGTCATAAATTTAGACCACTGATTCTACGTAAGTACAAGTACGAAATGTTACTTGTACAAAATATTAAATGTACGTAGGTCTTGTTCCCTTCGAAGAATAAAATACTGTATTGTGGATTGTATCATATGTTTCATAGAAATAAAGCATACTAAGCAGAGCTAAATCAAAAATTTGAGCCTCTCTCGAAACAGAAACCCCCGTGTGGACGTCTCGACAGAAAGGAAGAGAGACAAGAATCACGGAACAATCAAGCCATCATACTAAAAACATATTGAATCATCATCATTGCAATACGTAACTACAAACTCCTTTTCCTTTATTTTTTTCTCGTTTTCCCTTTTCTGGTGCTTCACATTTGTGTGATGGAAACTTCGGAAATATATGTTAATTTTCATGGTGTATAATGTTAATTTCCTGCGGCAGAAACCGAAACGACGGATGTAGCCATCGTGGGATTAGCGAGGGTGATTGCCTCGACGATTCCTTTCACATCGAGCAGCAGAAACGAAAGATTCTCAAGCGCACAGCACCGTCGGCTTTGACTTTGAACGATGCCAAGGAATGGGAATATGTCGCAGAAGGTGGCGCCAATGTAGTCTTTCGTCAAGACAAAATATCTACCAATAACAGCATCTCCGATTGTGTCCTCCGTGTCCCGAAGTCTTCCCAACCTTTCTGTTCTGTTGACCTGCTTGATTACATCCAAAACTCGGTTCTTCCGATTATGAATGATAATGGGAATAATAGCTGCAGCGAAAGAGGTGGCGGCAGGTATCAATTTTGTGGGAGACTTGTAGCACCAACGTCACCAACTTTTCTCAGCGAGCTGAACGAAATGTTGCAATCGTCGACGACAGATGCACGTCGTCCGGACCAGCGTCGTGGCTCGGGTATCCGTTGCCATAGTACTGGTCTATCAGCGACGTCTACTGAATCGAAATTGATGATTTTGCCCAATGTAGTAAATGCAGGAGAATTGTGCATCGAGCTGAAGCCTAAGAGCAGTTTGGGACCATTTGGCAACAGTAGTAACAAATCAACAGTTACAAGATAYCATGGAATGACCATGAAACAACAAACTTGCCGATATTGTATGCACCAAGCATGGAAGGAACATTGCGGTAAAATTCCGAGACAGAGGAACAGGGGCAACTTATATTGTCCGATCGATTTGTTTTCGAACGACGAAGGAAGGATGAAAATGGCCATCCGTGCACTTCTTAACGAACCCCAAAACAATCTACGTTTGTTTCAACCCGACGGGCAAGAAGTCACAAAAAAGGTGACAAAGGCAGCAACTTCTTCAGAATCGGAGAGGGTCTTGGGGATGGAAGTCGAAGAAATTGTGGATGTTGTTGTTGCAGGATTGCGCCAAAGCCGAGTGTTAGAAGATTTGCATCGAGCTCATGAATTGGACTCATTGGACATAGAAGGCATGTGGCATTTGCGAAAGATTCTAGATTCTCTCGAAAACTTCGACGAAAATACGACAATAATGGATTCGATGGATCAGAGTTGCAATTTTGATCACCAGAGACAGAAAGAGCAACAAAAACGAAGAGAGCAACCCGATCCAAAAACTCACCGGTTATTACAAGCCATGGGCTGCGAGRTCGATGATTCTTTGCAGGTAGTCCGATCGCGGTACCAGCAAATGTTAGAAAAGTTTTTACTGGCAGCCACGTTAAAAGATTGTTCGATACTCATTTCGATGCGAAAAATACAATCTGATCAAAGTCACAATAGAAACTCCGAGAGATTTGTTGAGATGGAGTATGAAATCAAATGCAACGGTAACATCTACTACGTTTTGATATCCATTGTTGATTTAGATATGAAACCATCGTCCCGATTATCAAAATACTTCAACCTCGACCAAGATATTGTACATCATTATAGTGAAATGTCTGGGCTTCACAAAAAGTACTGCTTTGGACCTACGATACCAGAAAAAACGCCAGACTCTACAATCGATGAATCGATGGTTCAGATCAAAGGGAATATGATGTGCCGTATATTGTATCCGAATCCCGTTTGTCTGTTGACCGTGTACGATCGAACAATGCATACAGCAAATGTCATGACGATAACGTGGCTAACACCGATTGACAATAGTGGGACATTCGTTTGCTCTATCAATAAAAGACGCTATACTGCAGAATTATTACACGTGTCAAGCATTTTTGTGCTGAATGTTCCAACGCAAGACATGGAGGAAACCGTTCTTGGTATTGGATCGTGTTCTGGCCGCGAAATCGACAAATTTCAGAAATTCGGTCTCGAAACTTGCTGTCCTGGTCACCCTTCGCAGAATGCCAGCGATGACGACCGCACCAAGCATGCTGTCGCGCTGCAAGAGTGTGTTGCGCACACATTGTGCATCGTTAAGGAAAAGCAAGATCAAGGTAAACACTGGTTGTTTGTTTGTGCACAGCAGCTAGCCTGGTCTCGGAAAACATACTTTGAAGATGGAAAGCGCTTCCGTCGAAGTTCGGAATCTTTGTCTCCTTATCTGACGTTTCTAGGCTCGAAAACATTTGGTTCTGTTGTTTGAATGATTCAAAACCGATTCAGCTGTATGGGTACAATAATTTGATCGATGAATGCCACATTGGTCTGAACGGGAGAAAATACCTAGAAAAATGTCGATACATCTGATGAGGATTGATTTTTGCACAAGAGTATTGTTTTCAAACTCTCTCTCTCTCTCTCCATATGGAATGGCAGAAGAATCCTGTCACAGAAGCAGTTTTGATCATGGTTCAGGAATAGAGCACATTTGTAGAGTTTATGCTGCACCTCCAAGTTGGCAACTGATACGCATTATACAGAACTTTCAATGAGATGCGATAAAAAAAGCAGCACACCAGAGCTTTGACCGTTATTGCAACCAACATCACTCTTCAATCTCAGGCACCTCCCTGGCAATAGAGGGGACATGTCAGCTCTTGTTGCATGTGACGCTATCAAATAGAACAACAAACAGTGTGGTGCACAAGAAGAACAAGATGCTGTTGTTTGAAAAGAAGATACTGGAGGGGAGTTTACAAAATAGGAGAACAAATACTGCCCACACTACATCATTCACGAATATCAAAGATGCTGTTGCTTAAGTATTAGTCGCAATTGTAGCAAGAAATGACTCAAACACTTTTGTGACAACTCAATCACCCATTCGCGAAAGACTCCGATAGTACGTGCTTACTTTCGTATGGTATGTACGTACTTTAACGGGTACGAGTAGATGCCGGTTGACAGTTGACGTGGATTTTGGTCGCGCAATTTTTCACACGACTAGTTTCTCTCATTCCCCCTTACATAAGTTGTCTGCGTGGACTGCCGGCTATTGCTGAGTTCAAAAAAGTACAGTACAGTAATTTGTACAGTAGTTTTGATTTCTCAGATTTTAAATTGCCATAGTTTTTATCTTCGGTCGTCTTCAATATTCATTTTATTACACACGACCATCCCAAAAGTCCCGTATCTTCGAATAGGACTGTTGGATCGTCATAATGACCACCCCTGCCGACATCGAACTCGCTAGTGACCCTGCGTGGCTGAAAGAAGAAACGACTCCGACACCCACCACAACAACGACAAACGTCACCAATACTTCCGATTGGGTGGAAACAAATGCTGCGGCCACTACCGCCGTAAACAATGGTAGCAACAACGGGCAGAATACGGGCAGTGCGGCCGATGCTGCGGCCCAAAAAACTTGGAACCAATATTTCAGAGAAACTTTTAAGCGCGATGGGCGTCTTCTGTTGATAACTCTAGGTATAATCATCTGCATGAACATTCCCATCGTCAAGTGGGCTCTCTATCCCTTCACAATTTTCAGCACATGGATCCATGAATTCTGCCACGGGATGGCGGCCATCATTGCKGGAGGAAGCATCAGCAAGCTCCAAATCTTCCCTGACACGAGCGGATTGGCCTACACATCCGTCAATCCAAATCGGAGAGGCTTTGTCTCGTCGGCAGGATACCAGGGGACCGCGTTCATTGGATTCTTGTTGTTGATCTTCCGAAGGACGAAGCGGGGTCCCCGCACCGGAACCATGATCATTGCTTGCACGATGATCCTGACTTGCATTCTGTGGATTCGGAACGTCTTTGGTGTTATCTTTATCCTGGCCATGGGAATCGCATTTGCCGTACTGGCCTGGATGCTTCCTTCCGATCACATCCGGAATCTGTATATAATTCTTGCCGTCACGTGTTCCCTGAACGCTATCACGAGCGTGCACAATTTGTTTGGCAGCAATAACGTCGTCAATGGGCAATCTACATCGACAGATGCCCACACCATGGCCGAAATTAAGGGTGGATCGTATTTGCTGTGGGCAGTACTGTGGCTATTTTTGGCAATTATCCTTACCCTGATGGGTATAATATTTGCAATTCCTGGACCCGACGAAGTCGCTGATTTCACATGCTGTGGTGTGTGCCAAGATCTTGGATGTTTCACGCTGTGTAATTATCCGGGGCAGCGGTGCCTAAGTCGAATTCGAGCGAGGGGAAACAATGATAATGACGAAGGCAACACCAGTAACACTAACGGAGGTTCATGAGTCAGAGAACGAAAGGACACACGTACAAAATAATCAGTTGATCCTCTGGAAGCGGGCGTTGTTCATTATTTTTATTTTTGCTACCATAGCTACTTGGAACACCTGACGATACACGGAATCGAAGCCACTAATGTGGTACTCAAGAAAACCTCGAATAGAGAAAAAAAATTCAAATTTCGCGAAGGTGTACACTGAAGTCCTTCGCCAAAAAGTATTTCTGCTTGAAGGTCAATGGTTCGTCATTCTTTCAAATACACTATCTGACATCCGTGGGACATTCAACGTTGTCCTCCGCTACTATTCGAGGGGTTACCACGAAATTTTTTGTTGTAAATGCCTCCAAGCAGTCCATCCTGTAAATATATTTAAGCAAAGAAAAATAATATCGAAATAGCCATGATGATCCAACGATGCTGTTCGAATAGAATTCTGACAAGACGTCCGGCGTGGCGTGCTCTATCATCTAATGACAAAAGCCAAAGGTTTGGTCACTTGTACCTTTTCACAATGCAAATTCCCAAGTGCACGGTCCCAAATGATCTGAAGCCCTTGGTTCTTGCAACAAAAATCGGTTTCGTTTGGGGGCATACTCGGGAGCATGTCGACAAACGCAAGTCGGACCTCAATACTGGAAATCCCTTCAAGTTGAAGGTGGACAAAGCATTTCCGTGCAACGACCCACTTACGTTCGAAGAATACTGGCACATGAAATTCAAATCGTGTCACCAACGTGGTGAATGGTTCCATTTGTCTCCGCAGCAAATTCACGAAATCGAAACAGTAATGGAAGAGTATCACGAGACTGGAACTTTTGCAGGTGATAAGAAATTGTGGGATAGTTTACTGAAAAAGAACGAGACCAAAGTTCGCCGGAATTCAGCGAAGAAACGAATGCTTGAAGGTCCCCTCTCGAAACGATCTTTTCAACTCGAAATCAAAGGAATTCTGAAAGAACAAAGGCAAAAAATTCAGTCTGGAGCTGTCGACTCTCGATCTTACTTATCCGATGAAGATCAGATCAAGGTCAGAAAGGCTCTTTCTGGACATCCTGAGGCAGACGAAAAGATTGGTTGCGGCGTTCGAAAAATATTTGCAAAGCAATCAAAATCTGAGTATCGAACATATTGCTTCTTCGTAACGCGTACAGATGGCAGTGAAGAAGAATTTAGCTATAAATCGTGCTTTGTACCAAAGCAAAGGTTAGAAGGTTCAGGAAAAGAGGAATTCAGGAATCTCTCATATGGAAACACCCGTGCCTAAATGAACTGATGGACTTGTTTGCACACGAACGAGTCTGTCGGAAGAGGCACCATAGCACCACGGATCGCACTAAGCCGTCTACGAAGTTACCAAATTATTACACACARTCTGTTGCTTTATTCGAACCCTAGAAATTTACCCCTTGCTCGACATCGGTCTATAAATCTATACTTGCCAATCCTTAGGTTTGATGGAAACACAACCATGCACCTTGATTATTCGTCCCAGGCAGCCTCTATCTATTTTCTTCATGATTGCACTCGGAGGTCTTCGTCGGAGATGGGACGCAGGACAAATGATGACGACGTTTCTGTAGAATTTTTGGCACCATTATCATTGGTATCGAGTTCTCGACGATTTTTAATCATTTGGCGGGTCTCCAAACTCAACATTGCTTCATCTCGATTGCGGTACAATCCATGTCGTACTTCGTTTGAATATACACCCGCATCACTAGCAGCGGAGGATGCTTTCTCACCTTTGATTTCTACCACCTCGTACCAAAGATTCATATCCTCTTCTTCTTTTCTAACAATCGTATCAGTAGAATTTTCTTTAGGAACACTACTCTCTGGGATAAATCGATCCTCTGTTGATGGTAGTGTGGGTGATTCTGTTGCAAGGTCATTCGGAAGGCGACTGTCGGAAGACAGTGATGATAATTCTTCATTCTGAGAAGAGGACAAAATCAACTGCTTTTGATCAATGTTGACTCTGTTATCTCGATCATATCCTTCATCTCTGTCATGCGAAGCAACGTACAAGCTATTACTAGCATTATCAGAAGGAATTGCAGCGATCTCTGCTGTAGTCAAATTATCTTCGACATCGACTTCCCTAGGTTGTTTCTCCATTTCGAATTGTTCCTTTTCCTGGAGGCAAGTTTTTTGCTCCTGTAATTTTTGTTGTTCCTCTTGGAATTGTTCCTCTAATTTTGAGATGCAATCATCATAGGATTCTGGAAGGACCCGATGATGCAATACGAGCGATGCCTGTTGTGGAGTCATGCCCTTGATGATATTTGTTTCATATCCCAAGTTATTGATCAAATCATGTTTCATGGGAGATGTTATCATAAAGGCTACCTTTGCACCAGAGCTTGCTGAATGGGTGCTGATCGCAGCACCAGTTCCAGGAGAATCCGTGACGGAGACTTTGCTGTCGGGATTTTCTGGTAAAGAGGAATTTGAGTTCGATGAAAGAATCGAGGGCAAAACAAACGAGTCTTGTTTTTGCCGCATATATTCCGCCAAGCCCCAATACTTCACCAAACCCATCTCTTTATCAATTTTGAGAAGCGATATTGCAACGCTGTTGTTCGAAGGTTGTCGAGATTCTTCTAACAACACCGCTTTGATTCGTTCCGGAATAGTAGTATTCGCAGGAGCTGCTCGTGGAACGGCAAGGTACATAGCTCGTGACAACGCCAATCCATCCCGACTCCTTTGGGATATTCTTTGCATCCATCTGGATACAAACGACATTTTATGCTTCCTGACTATTGAATCAATCCAGGAACTATGGGTGGAAAGGTTGTACAAGTTGAAACTGGAAGGTGTATCATGCATCACTTTTCATTCATGATCTAGCATGATCACACCGAAAGGAAAATCGTCGTGTAAAAAACCCCGCGTACGGACAGACATATCGGCACACATGCGGGATGAGACCTATTTCGCGCCACTTCCGAGTGCAAGACGAAAACTACTCCTCTCTTTCCTTTCGACGAGATAACATAGGAAAACAAAGTACTAGCTACTGCTAGTATATTATCACACCATCTACCCTGCCTTCTAAGTCTTCAAATTGTGATTCATATTAGAGTATGAAGAAATTATGATGTATTTACGGTAGATAATATTAGCGACCACCACTGCACGCTTTAATGTGATTTATTGTGCATGATTGTTTGCCGATAGATCGAGACCATTTTAGAGTTTTTAAGCCCCTGCCATGGGATTTTCCCGTCAGCCCCATTTACTGTACTTCGACTTCTCTGAAAGTTGATGTTTGGGCAGTTAAGTACTTCTTGATGCTCGCATAGAGTCAGGATGAAACCAGAGCGAAGTGCAATCAACAATTGTATTGGCTGGAGCGCACCCGGCACTCGATCAATGCGCCTCATCAGTCAGATACTAAAGATGTTTGAATGACTTTTGGATCAAAAAGAGCMGAAAATGGAAAAGTTGCAGAAATGTCACTGTCGTCGCTATCGTTTCCATCGTTGCTGTTTTCATCATCAATAACGCAATCCCCTTGGATATTCTCCTTTTTACTGCTCGAACAATGATTACCATTCGTCTTATTGGTTACACTTTTACAATTTAACATGTTCCCAGCTGTTGGTTGCTGATTCCAATATGCATCTCCATACGAAACAAAGAGTTCCTCTCCAGACTGGATGGTCCGTGTCGTGTACACCGCTAATCGGATCGTGTCTTCGTGGGGATCATCCCCCCCCCTCCCATATCCCTCCGAATGATAATGGCTACCTGACACTGTCAGGACTGTTGGAACGTAACGACAGTTCACGAGATTTTCGTTCAAAGGGTCGTTAATATATCTTGCCGTGATGCTAGGAATAGGACCCGGATCAACCAGGGTATTATCTCGAATCCACATCAGATAGGATCTTTCTTCGATTGGTAGCTCACGAGAAGAAGAATGGGTGTGAACGTGTCCTGTATAATAACAAATAAGACTATCTTTTGGTATTGAAGGCGCAGCAACACTGGTTACCTCAACTTTTTGCGAAGGAATGTAATACAAACCCATTCCCGCTTTTCGTATTTGACTGGGGCGAACAACCAGATCTTTCTCCCATGAAGTAGTTTCCACAGCTAGTGTTGATATGTGTTGGTTCAGCAAATATCTAACGTGACTGAATTGCTTCCGCAAGGCAAGTAAGTCGTCCGCGAGGCCATCGCCGGTATGTTTGTCGTTTGCGTTTGGCGAGAGCAAAAATCTATCGTCGGTATGGCAATCTTCGGGGGACTCCGGTCGAATGGCGAGCTCGTTCCATTTTTCTAACATTTTGAAGCGCTGCCAGAGCTCTCGTAACTTTGGGGACGAGTTCACCTCGAACCCCAGAAAATAATGACCATTTGCCTTGGGTGGAAGCCATTCAGAAGTAACGTTCACTCGATGATCCAGGATGTTTTCCGTTGGAACCTCAGCTACAACATCGCTCATGTCGTCGCGTTCTCTTTCAGGTGGTCCTTTGTTGGTATGTTGTCTCACCATTAGCAATGTGCGATAGTCTCATGTTGTGATAGAATTGGCACCGTTCCTGATGAATCTCATCATGCCGGAACATTGTAGCTGTAGCTGTGTAGCATTCGGTCGTAATACCGCAGTGTTTGTATGAATGGCTCATTTCTAATGAGTTCAGCGCATCATTTCTTAATTTTTGGTACAAAATTTTGGGGGCGGTACCGCTCGACTCGGTACCAAGAAAATTCCGAAATTTAATTCCCTCATTCAGTCCCGAAATCTGCATCACAAAACGAAGAAAAATCTGGCGGTATCGGTGTAGCGAGTCCCGTGCGCAGTGGACTGAACGCTTGCGCGCGCCAAAACGCGCGCAACTGAATGAATGGCTGTAGTAAGCATAGTACTAACAAAGTACAGACACCCTCAACAAGAGGTGCGCTTCAGCCTCCAGCAGCAAGCTGCTCACTAAATATCACTGTTGCGTGCACTAACTGCAACCAGTAACTGTAGATAAGACGCAACGCTCTGGAAAGGGAGGGGACTAAACACAAGTGTTTACCCCCATCCGACGCTCCGTGACTGCCGGGCCATGGCGTCCACGGCTCAGGCACTCCCAATCACTTACAGGGACCTCTATGAAGACCCCGCTACCAACCCCTTTGGAGCTGACCCCATCCGCCGGAGGACAGCCTACGAGGGGATCTACCAGCGGTTCCGTAGCGGCCCCAACCCAATCTCCGCAAAGCTACTACTGGAAACGCTCCTCAACATCTTTGACGCCCAAGCCGTAGGAGGCCTAGGGATCTTTGTAACAGATCACGACTCCGTACTACGCCTACGCGTCATCCACAGACTCAGGAAATATCCGGGTGACCTCCTTCGAAGTTCCCCCAACGCGGGGAAGGTCTTCGGCTATTTAGATGCGTCACAAAAAGTGATCGCGGGGTTTGGTCGCACCCCCATGCGCGTAGTTTTTGTGCGACCACTTAACACGGGTAATTTGTGATTATCAAGCTT